GTTTAATAAAATTTGAAAGTGAGATACTAAAAACCTTGTGTCATGAGTAGTAAAGTATACCCGTGTTGATAGGGTTAAATAGTGTGCTGTTTTGTCAGGAATAATACATACATATTTATATATATATATATATATATATATATATATTATTCCTGCTAAAACAGCAGACTTTTTAAGCCAAAATTTTACTAATGGTTTGAATCATTTAAAGTATTACTAATTTCTTCTTAAACTTACTTTGATCAATCACTATCTCTGTACACCAACAAAAGAAACCACTCTGATATGTATGTTAAGGTATGTGGTAAAAAGTAAAACATGGATTCTAAATTGTTTCAAACTAAATGCAAATCAGTATGTAAAACACAAACATCATATGCTACTGTACTAGTAACAATACAGATGTAACATGAGAATTTTAGTATTTTTTTCAAAATCAAGTGTAATTAAAACATTCTCTTCAAACTACAATTTAACACAATAATAATCCTAAACACTATATAACCATTTGTATACTTCTATTTTTTTTTTTTATACAAGTACTAAAAAAAAGAAATAATTGCAAGGCTACTACTGAAACTTAAAACTAGCACACATAATCTAAAAAGGCTTACTCATAAACATATCTACAGTTGCTTTAGACACAACAGGAGGCTTTAATTCAAGCTCCACAAACTGAAATTCACAAGTCACTGGCAAGTGTCGAAGATATCTCATACGTTTCCTACTGGCCTACGTCAATACAAAATTGAAAAATATTCACACATCATATAATTCTTTAAAGATTTCCACTAGTGTGTTTATACTTTCTCTAATAACACTCTGCTATAAAACTTTCAAAAACCATTAACCACATGACAGAAAATGCACCAATTCATTTTTTTTCTACAAAAACAACCTACAGTGGTATACATCCTGAAGCTATTCAACATGCAGCTTTTAAAATGCATTTGTAATAGTAGTATATCAACCACAGTATATCTGCTGTATCCAGTGCAAATGAAGCCTTTTGCCCAATATCATGGCTCCCCAAGCAGGTTGAGTGAGATAACAGTGTTTTTACAGATAGTTTTCTGAAGAAATTCCTGGAGGGAAATTAACGAGCTCAGTTACTCATCACTAGTACAAACTGCTTGAAATTGAATTGTTTCCTTCACAATCAGAACAAAGAACACTAAAAGCAAGTCTAATCTTTCTTTTACACGTGCAATGTATTAGTAACAAATCATATAACATCCTTTGAGGATTAACAAATCAGTGAAAAACAATGCAGTATTATACAGATATGAATTACTTCTACCTGTTCAAATTAAGGTACAAAAGCAAAAACTTTGCAGATATAATCCACATATTCCTATCCTTAACATATTTTGACTATTCTTTAAATTAATCTTCCTATTAAAGTAAATTTACTGAATACACCCTATTTTTTCAGCATTATTATAAAAGTCATAATTATAAGTTGTGAAAACATCAAGTTCATTTTTATATTTTAAGAACCAAAGTTGTAAGATGACTTTTCCAACATTTTGAAGAAGCTTAAATAATGACTTGAATATTGTCATTAAGAAAATTGTTGGAGAACATTGCAGAAGTTCACAACAAAAGAATTCTGAAATGTTGTTCTCTGGTAGAACAGGCTGCTACTATGAAGTAAAGTTACATTTACAATTTTCTAAGCTAACATTGAGAACAGAAGAATATTACAATGTTGAATATCTATGCCCCAAAAGTTATGGTACAGAGTTACCACAAAGAAAAAACCCATACACAGCTTGGTTAATTCAAGTTGTTGAACTACTATTTGCAACAATAGTGAAAATAAGTTTTACAAAGTACCTGCCCTCCATCATAACCCTTTCAAAGTAAAAAAAGCAGCAAGACAGCTGGAAGGAGCAAATAACTTTGACATTATATTTGTAAATACAAACCTCATCCACAGAAGCACCCTCAAGTTCCAGTATTTTAGCAGTTATTGTAGCAGGACAGTTCTCCAGACTTCCATATTCCTTTACCAACATACGAACATTCAGTGCGTGTAGAAAAATATTCTGTCCATCAGATGCTGTCAATGGTTAAAATAAGTGTATTAAAAATGATATTTCAAACATTTGTAGTACTAGTACTGTTAACTGGAAAAAAAAAATCACTACAGGGTAGAGTCAAGAATGGTATTGAATATTCTTCTATCTAAATACTCCATAATTAATACAATAAGAAGCTTTATCACACAGTGTGTCAAACATTAAGCTGTCAACCCTTTTGTGTTAATAACAGAAATGAGCTTGTAACGTTTTTATTTTCATATAAAAATATCAAACATTCCTAAGAAAAATTACTAATTAAACAGTATCAATAAGCTATTTGTCTAAAAGGAAAGATAACTGAATTTTTAGAAATTAACTTGCATAACTATAGAGTGACAAATGGTTGAAATAACCCAACTCTGCTGAACTGTAGAGTGGCAAATGGCTGTGATATATCAACTCTGCTGACAGTTTTGTTGTAAAAACTATGAATAAGACATGGCATTCATGTTGTAGCATAGGAATAAGGCCATAAAATGTTCTGACGACTTAATCGGTGCTTCTAGATTCAGCAATGAAATAATTGTATTTAAGTCTTTTAAAACATAAATCAACACACTGTTCTAATTTTCAGAGCAGTAATACTGCTGCACTTTTTCCTAACTCTAAGGTGACAATATAGCAGTGTAAAATTACCAGTTCTTCAACACTTGAATGCACAACACTAACTATTACATGGTAAAATTCATATGATCATCAAATGATTACAAAGACAGAATATGATGATACTGTGACTGCAAGTACAGTCTCTTTTTACATCATGTAGCACAAACTGTGTTACAACAAACCTATGATACATAAAATAACCTACTTAGAAAATTATCCCTATGATATAGCTTTTGAGAAACTGTGGTTTGAAATAAATGAAATACTCTAGTGTTATAGAAGGTTATAATTTGCACCAATTTGCACAGGTATGTACTATATGTAGCAATTCAAAAGACAACGCACAGAAACTGGTTATAGGATATAAGCATCTTCAACAGTTATATACCTTCTGTACTTAGGTTTTACAAGAGCTAACATACTCATCAACAGCCCATTTATGTTACTAGGGGTTCTAAATTCTAATAAAACAACGTCACCATGGTCAAATCCACCAAGAAATGTTAATTCGTATTTTTTACAGTTAGCTATGATATAATGTGATAATGTTTGAGGTACAAAAGAAATATCCAATGTTGTTGTCATCAGCAGAGAAATGAACATATATGACACTAAACAAAAACTGAAGAAGTTGTCAACACTTCTAACCACCCTTTTCCAAAACCTCATCCTTTTCAGTACTACATAAAGTTATCTTTATGGGATTATGCAATGTGAAAGCATCACAACTTAGAGGAACATATTTTAACTCTTCATTCATTTTAGTAGGTTAAAAGCAGAAAGCAATAAAAAAATTACCTTGATAAAAATAATAGTTTTCTCTGCCAAATTTCTTGGTATCAATTCTTTCTACATCAGTACAACTCTGGGGATTGTTCAACTCAAGAAATGAAGTTCGCTCACAGATTTGTATGCCACTTCCTGTCCCAGCATTACTGAAGAGTTGTTCTTCAGCTGTTGGTAGAAAATCAATGTTATAAATGTTTTATGACAGGATCTTTTTAAGTATACAGTGACACACATGTAACATTATTCCCTACAAGAACAAACAACCTAGAAGTACACAAAGTAAAACAATATTTTTATTTACTAAGCATGTATCAAAGAATAAATAAACATCTATCTTGTTGATTTAATTATAGATAGGTATCCATTATCACACTGATACTAAACTAAGGATTTAACCAAAAAACAAAGTGGTATTTATTTTGAGATAATGATGATATCTAAATCACATCCCTAAAATAAGTACGAAAGGAAGCATTTAAATCAGAAGTAACTGAATAATTATGTTACTAAAGGAAGACTATGACAACCATGTGCTAATAATCCAATAAGTAATGTTTAATATCTTGTTATGGTATTTGACCTTAGATAAATTCCTAAAGAATAAAAAGTTTTACAGATAAGAAATCTTCTTTGAAGAATGAATTCAGCTTACATAAACAATAAAAATTGTAAACTATTTAGATGTTCAGTCCTTAAATATCACACTTAATCCCGCTTAATACTGTGCAGGAATCACTATAAAAAGTGTCATTACTGAAAACATAAAACCTTTGATTTAAACCGATTATTTAATTAAAAATAAACTAAAATAGTATAATTTCTCTCTTCTGATACTAATGTGAATTCAGATCTATTAGTCCTATAATGACCACATTTTTCATTTGTACAAGTAAAAATAAGTTATAAATACAGTTCTATATAAAAACTAATAAAAGCTATTACTTATTGAAACTCAAATTCTCTGACCAAGTTGAGATAAAACAATAAAAATATTTTCAATGACCTTTTTCCAGTGTACTTTTGAAATACAGGGCTAGAAATAGCTTCAAAATTACTAAATTGTATTTAGGATCTTTTTAAAAAATTATACTTAATAAAAGAAATACTTATGTAGCTCTTAACAACTGAAACATTACAACTCTAAAATATGCCAAAGTTTTCAATATACAATGAATTATTCCTACGCTATTAGCAGTGAAAAGATCATATTTATGATTCATAAAACTGATGAAAGGACATTATTTTCCAAACTTCCAGGTTTGAGGTTTCAAAAAGGGTGATTGAATATTTTTAATTCACAAAAGGACAGAAAAAATTAGAAACAGTTTATAACACATCCTAAGTTGAATTCTTTTTGGTAGAGTTTGTATTAAAAATTAAATCTAAAAATCATAATGCACTGTAACTATTACATTAAACACATATTATATATCATTGATGCTTCTTCAGTAACTCAAAAGGTTCTCCTTTCTAATATCAATAATATAATTAGTATCCCTGTAATGTTTATTTCATGAACTTTTTTTGGTTGATTTTGAAATAATTTCCAGATTAGAACACTTCACACATAATTAACCTACATTTAAAAAACATAGAAAGAAATAGGTACCACAACTACATGTTAATTATTGGGTTTCCCTGAAACAGCAAGAGACTGTGAATCTAAAATTTAGTACCTGTTAACAGGCAACAAATGTACTGACAAACAGTCCCTGAAGAACACTTCCTCTAATCCCAAAATTTATGTTCTGACATACAAAAGATGTTTGATGTAAGGAAAATTTGTCTTTTAACATCAGTACTATATTAATAGCCAAGTATAATTACACTTACTAAAGATACTTGCAGATGAGTTTGTGAGTAAAACTGTATTTTCATTACTTCCAGTAGCACTTAAATTAACCAGGTCATCATTTTCATCAGCAAAAGGGTCTACATAGCTTTTGTTCTAGAGACAGAAACAAAAGTACAGGTCAATTAAAGGAGAAAGAACCAACAGAAGAGTAATGACCAAATTTCATTTTCATGCAAGTCTGAAGAAACAACATACTCCCTACCTTCTCTGTTTTCCATTCTTCTGATCGTAATGCTGCTACATTCAGTGCATCATCAGCACCATATGAGGGAAATGCTTTTGAGATGTGTAACTGAGACATAAGCAGCGAAGTTTCTTCTTGTAGTAACTGCTGTTTCTGAAGAGCACCTTCTCTTTCATTCAAGATCTTTAAAATGTTTACACACAAATGTTAAGTAATATTTAGAACTTCAGATTTTTCATCATAGATATAAATGTATTTAAAATACTTTTTTCAAACACTATCAACTTAACTCTAGCTACAGGTTCAGTGGATTACACTAACCTCATAACCCCAAAGCAACCATCAGTTTCCATACTATAACATTTAGCATGTTTTGTGTATCTTTACAAAATATTTTAAGCTTTTAGTAAACAAGTCTTTTGTCTTTTTTAGACAAAACATCAGAAATTTCAATTAAGTCTTTTTACTAAAACTTTGCCCATTAATATATGGAGTCTAGAGAGTTGACTGTTTCAAGTTCAAAGTGATTTTCATGTTAAGAGTAAAAAATACTTTTCTTCGTCTGAAAATTTTCAAATTTAATTTGTGTAATCTCTAAAACATCCTAAATAAATACCAAACTATTTTTCAAAGAATCTTTATTTCTCTCTGTTATTTTCTCTACCATAATTTTATACAGAGTTGGTCAATTTGATGGACCTTGCAATCAATATAATAAAAAAAACAGGAAAAAAAAAAGTCTAAATTATTAGTTATTCATAGAATGACTACAAATCTTACATAACTTAGTAAGTTCCTAATTTTTATATTTTAGTTACTTTTATAATAATAAAGAATACAAGTGAAAAACAAGAAGTATAGTACTTACCCGAGTCTCATGTTTTTTTACCGTTGACTGTCAATGAAACTTAAGCATACTTTTTTTTTACTAAAAGATAATGCTACATTAAATAATTATTCAATTAAATAATGCACCTAAGAACACAAAATAATAACATGTACAAAGCAAACAATGTCCTATAACTATCATATATTTTCTGGCTTTCTATGTGATAAGAACCTTTAAAATTTCAGCCAAATCTGTTAATGTGATTCCAGTGAGAGAAAAAAAAAAAAGTTTCGAACTAAAGTGAAATAGACAATTCTCACAGAAAACAATGTAGTATAATCAGTCATTTGATAGATTAAAACTTTGACTTTCTATTGGTTATAAATGATATAATATTAACTGTCAGTGAGAGATATTGGCAACTTGTGAAAGAGGATGTGACAGGTGGGTGTGGCAAAAAGAGGATCTGATTTACTATTTTATGGCTCTGTAAACAAATAAGATTGAAGGCTATAAAAATTATGCCTTGCCTTAGAAACAAATATATTGTAACCAGTAATTTACATTACATTCTGTACTTCTCAGAGGGGTGGAAAATAAATTAGAAAAGAAAGAAGACCTAGAGAGCAAATGTCACAATTCTCATACTTGGGGAGATTGAGAATTTTATTTATATATTTCCTTATACAATTAAAAACTGAAAACTTGTATAATATTAACATTTGATTTATTAACTATGTTTTGATGCCAAGTGTACTTGTAGACAAAGTAGTTTAATTAAAGTTTGACTGTAACTAAAAAGTTGTAACATGTGCACTTTGACCTGCCTGTAGCAATGGGGTTAAATGGCCTCATCTTTGATCATGTGAATTTTGAAATAAAACATTAATTATAAAAACATTTTGCAGTAACATTGCTCTTATTCCTATATTCTTTAACACAGGTGAGAACTATAGGTTTTATTAATTCTCTCAACAAGGGTCAGTCAATTGGACTGACCATGTGAACTCTTTGTACTCTTTTAGTCTTTATAGATTTAATACTTTACCTTACAATATAGTGTGTATATCTTTAACAAAATTTGGCAGTCTTTCAGTCAATATTATAAGTCTTTCACATACAAAATAATCATATTTTTCAGTGATGTATTTTTAATGAAATAAAATAAAGATTTGTCCATGAATATATTGAGTATTTGTTTTCAACAGTCGTTGTGCAAAGTAATTTTCATGTTAAAATTAAAAATACTTTTCCTCATCTCAAAAATCTCAAATTTCCTTATGTAATCCCTAAAACCTCCTAAATGCATTTCAAACGTTTTTTTAGCAAAACTTTATAGTTTATCTGTTATTTTCACTACCCTATCTCAAAACAGGATTGGTCAATTTGACTGACCTTGTACCAACCAAAAACAAACAAAATAAACCTAAATTACCATTTTTTTTTCTTCCTAGAATGACTTCAACTTGTAACATGAAACTACATTCGTTTATCCTAAGTAGCTCTAAGTTTGTAACATTATACATCTATTTATGATTAAATTTTATTGTTTTATTGCCCTTTGAACCATGTACAACTAATATCTGCACCATTATAAGTTTCGCTAATGAATTACATTATCCAAGACCTGCTCACGTGTGCCTTGTGAAAAATTTTTATTATAATATTATTATTACTTATTTTACCTAATCTAATCTTAACTAGCCTAATAAGATTCCCATTTTTACATTTTAGTTACTTTTGTAATTATACATAAAGAATAAACATGAAAAACAAGAAAAAAAATACTTAACCCTAATCTTTTATACTAATGATAGTAATGCACTTAATAATTTTTATTTAATTAAATAATGCACCAAAGAATATAGACTAATAACATGCAAAAAGTAGACAAATTCCCTTACCTCTAAAATTTTTCTAGCTTTCTAACTATTCGACATAAGTTCATCCAAGCTAGTTGTTAACTTTCCCATGGGAATGATGTTGGTACTGTGAGTGAAATTGATATCTAACTGTGCAGAACATAATGTTATACAATACGTCATTTGATAGATGAAAACTTTGACTTTCTATTAGATATAGGTAATATATAATGAAGCGTAAGAGAGAACTATCAATGAATTCTGAAAGAGAAGATGAGACAAGTGGGTGTGGCAGGAGGTGTCTGATTTTCCATTCAATAGCTCTGTAACCAAACAAAAATGAAGACAATAAAAATTATGGTTTGTCTGAGCAACGACAATTTTATAGAGTAATTTATGTTTGATTTTGTACTTTTTGGAGGAGTGATGGATAAAATAGGGAAGATGACATGATAAAGTCATGCGAGTCACACACTAGCGGAAATTCAGGATTTTTTACAATATTGCCTTAAGAACTTAAAACTTGCATTCTATTAAAATATGGATTATTAGCTAAGATTTTATGCTATTCTAATTGGTGTAACATAAACAAAAAGAAGTTTAATAACATTTTGAATATAAGACACTAAAACCTTGTGTCATGAGTAGTAAAGTATACCCATGGTGACATGGTTAATAAAAGTCTCATTATAAGGGAGTCCAGTAAAACATATTGTTAGGGCAAAATCCAGAAAATTTAAAATGTTTTTTTTCTCCCAACTATAACATGTTTTAATATGTTTAAGAGTAGTATACATCAATATCACTCTGGTGTTTTTTCGAGACATACCTGTAAGGCTGACTCTATATAGCAAGACTCCGGGGTATCACCTTCCTCTTTAAGTTGAGCCAACATTTCATATCTTTCTCGATTTAAAATGGTGTTCACTTGTTCTGGGGAAGCCAACAGAAGTTTCTGAAAGCACGTGGTGGCAGCATCTAGTACAAAATGTTACAAAAATTTGAATATCAGCAATAGAGGATTAAACTTCATTTCAATTACTTTTGGAAAAAGTCTAAAAACATTAAACAGTTATAGAGTTCTTACCAAGTTGTGGAAGTTATTTATATTAACAAAGCACTATATATTTTGAAATAAGACTGAACAACGTCATTAGGCTTACCTGTAAATCTAGCACCCATATGTTGGTATGATACTTTTTTTCATATGAAAAAAATTCAAAATTATAAATAAAGTACAAACTATTCGTCCAATACAAGTGAAAATAATTGTAAAAAAATTTCCTAGTTTTTCAATGTTGACATTTTGTCAAATTCCTAAAGAAGGCTGATTTACAGATTGTGTATTTTGAACATCAACATTTTACATTCCCCCCTTAAGAAAAACTAACAAGCTCTTTTGTATACACAGGAAGTCACTGTAAAATGTTTTCAAGGTCAATTATTCATCTCGTGCCACCTAAGTGCAGTATGTGTACAAGAATACAAGTGGATGTATAAACAACAACTTCACCAATTATACTTCTCAAGCTAAAAATTATAAAGAGATCCATGTGCTGAAGTATTACACCAATGACCTAATTGGGCTAATAAAAGCTGACATATCTCGAACATATAATATTCACTTGATCACAGTACGAGTTTTGGTTAATGCCTAATGAGAGCAGAAAAAGTTTTATATTTCAATCTACAACATGAATGTAGACACAAAGTACTAAGTTAATTGGTGGAAAGTGACAGTGCTTGCACATGATCAGTACAACATACATCTGTCGTGAGACAATACCTGTATTCACACAGTCCTGCACCATAATGATGTTCAGTCCAAATGCACAACCTTAAGATCTCATTGCTAAATGGAGAATCTCATCTCAACATCTAACTGCAGTGAGGAGTGTTGTCCTGGACAACATGAAGTCCCATCCTTCCCTATATGCGGATACAAGTCCACACCACAACATATGTATTTGTTTTGCATTAACCTATAGTAAGAAATGATTATCTCAATGTCTTCAAATCTTGGCATGCCTACCAGTAAACTCAAGACAGAATCTATGAAAAAGATATCATCCATTCATTTATGCTCCATCTGATATAATCTCTAGTCTATCTCAAGCATCCTTGGATGTGTCAGGATGCCAAAAATACTGGATTAAGGATCTTTTGAACCTCAACCCAGCCTCATGAAACCATTTACAAAAAACACGAAAAGAAATTCTAGCCCATATTATGTTTGGAATGAAATTTTTCAATCAGGTCACATTAAAGACTGAATCTGAACATGGAAATCATCCCCAGAACTGGTAACTCTTCTGGGTTACCCAAAAATGTTCTCTCCTGACCTTGTCATTTGTTTGATATTGACTCCACATACAGGAGACCAGAATTTGGGACATTATAAATAATTGAGCAAGATGGCACTGAGTTTCCAATTTTCAAGCATCCTTATTGCCCTTGTTCATGTCCCCATTACTTAACTGACATCTAATTTGTCTCTGTGTCATTACATTTACTTCAAGGAAAGTTTAAACAAGCATTTTCACATGTACAGAATTCTGTGGGTACACCAATCTGTATTCAAAACTTGAAATGCAGGGTCATACTATTTATACTAAAGCTTGCATATAGAGTTCAACAAAATGTGTGAACTATGCACTGACATATGAAAAGAATAACAAAGCATCAATCTTAGAAGCCTCAAAGGTAGACACTTGGCAAGGATTTTGTAATATCTCTAAGGGTTATATTTTTTGCTTATGTTTTCTAATCAATCTATTAACTAGAATGCTACAAAAACTAACACACTGAAGTAAAATATTAATGTGATGATGATGATGACAATTTTAGTAAACTTTTGAAATCAGAGTGGTGTTTCCTTTTACCCAAGTTTTTGTTTTCAGTTTTTGACACAATAATAAAATATTTGATCTCACCCTCATCAATGTAAAAAGGTTTTTCAATAACTCCATTCCAGTGAGTGACAGGGACAGCAAACACAGACCCTTTGTCTCTTCTCATAAGAGAAAGACTTATAATATCTCCAATTTTCTGAGTGATTTTATTGACAAAGTCAACACTGCAAAATCAAAAAGTCAATTTATAATTGAATTTTATCATAATATTTTGACATATTTATTTTGCTATTTCAGAGATAACTTATAGAAACTAGTTTAATGTCTTCCTAAATATTTGTTTTTAATATACAGTCGATCTTTTCCATATTTTCATAATGAAATTTTCTAAGCTTAAATGATTAAAAAAATCAAATTGTACTAAAGGGCACTCACTACAAGTTTTTTAGTTATTTATATAAATATATATATCACTTTTGTGAACTTTGATATTTTGTGACTTTTATGTTTATTTTTGTTACATTAAAACATATTTAAGACTACAAATCTTCAGGAGTGTTTAAGTTGTACTCAATAAGACATTACACATTAATACCTTAGAATTAATTAATACAACAATTTGATTTAAAATTTGTTTAAATACTAAATCATAACACATTAAATCTAATTATACGCAAAGAATTTACCTAATTCTCACACATGCTTATACGTGTTGACTACACTATAGTTTTCACACACTGATGTTTCCAAAAATTATTTCATAAAAGAAAGCCTTGTGAATATCCTAATCAAATTTAATCTCAGGCTAATTTTCTTGCTAGACAATTTAGTATAATAGAAATGATTTCTTCTAAGTGATTTAAGTTGCAATAATTATATTTCTAGGTTTATTAGAAAAATAAAAATGATTAGATTTGGATCAAAGTTTAATAAAAAAAACCTGAAGCTGACATTATGTGATGTACAATACCAATTAAGCATCACACAAGCCTTAGTTGTAAAGTAGACTGAATGATTTCCTTTGTCTTAAATATTTACAACCCAGTTGGTGCACTGATGAGACCAAATTCTGGAGACTGATTGGGCTGCAGGGGGCATCATGATTTCCAATATTTAGGTTAGAACAAAACAAAAAACTGACAAAGGGCTCATCCATTAACCTTGAAAAACCAAACTTTACTGACAAAAGAACTCATTTCTTAGTAGTGTTGGCCACAAAGATGCAGGTTATGAGGTTGGCCAGACTGTGCAACTCTTACACAAAATAATAAAAAGTGTTCATGTCCAGACAGGTACTGCGTTTAGCTACTTTACAGTGGCAAGTAAGCTTTGTTGAGCCCTCCTTACTTATCTCTATTTATAAATCTTGTGAAAAACCTTAGAGAAAACAGCTTTATAAAGCTGAGTAACCAGATATTGTTTTGCCCAATAAGTGCAGCCACTAATGTGTTTTGAGTGGGAAATTGAATGTGTGTATGAGTTTTACTTCCTCATAGCCTGGAAACTAGTGAGGATCCAACCATGCTGGTAAGCAAGTTATATTCCAGATATTGCAAGGAGTTCAAATCTGAATTTATAATTAAAAAAAAAGGTTTTTGGAAATCAACCCACCAAAACTGCCTCCATAACTTGCAAACAGGGTGTTAATAAGCATATACTAAGACCACAATAAGATAGCTGAAATAAGCTTTTCCATTTTATAACTCAGTAAACTGACTGAATTATCACAAGCCATCATACAGATTGATTGATTTTCTTTTTTAATTTTGACTTGAATATATTTTAACCGACCATTTAAATTGTGAATACATAAATTTTTTAACTTTTTTCAGGAAAATGTCTTCTCTGCAATAAAGGATATTTTCAAAATACCATTCTATAATTCAGAACTTAGATTAAAATATTCCTTAATTCAGTACTTCTAGGAAAATACCACACTGTAGACATACCTTTTTAAATCATCTTTATGTACAGCTTCATAACAGATGGGACACTTGCGCCAGGAATTATCAGACAAGGACAGGTAGTGTAATATGCAAGACCAACAGTAGATGTGACCACAGCGGGTTATCTTGGCAGCAGTGGGTGGATACAGACAAATGGGGCAGGAAGGAACTTCATAGCTGGGAACTCTCTGATAAATACAGAATCAAGAGCATCTTGTATCCAAATGTAAAATCCCTTTATTGATTTCCAAAAATAGCATCTATACAACATATACCTTTTATACAGATAGTAAAGTCTTTAGTGCAAAAATGTAAAAAGTATTTAAAACATAAAATTATTATTTCCAAATGACTTTTTCCAATTCTATTTAATACAGTACAAACAAATTATTATTAATTATATTGTCAAATAAACATCCTGATCTCACTATACAAGCCACAAAAAAAAAATGTGAAGCATATGGACAGTTTCAGAAAACTGATATAAACAACTGCATAGGCAGTAACAATCTTAGAAATGTTACATTGAAAATAAACTTGTGATTGAAAAAATGCTCGTTTATTCCCACCTACAATAGCTATCTCTACAATGCCACACCTACTACTATCATCACTTCCATTAGTCCCACAGTTGTTCACAAAATTCTAAAAATGCAAGACATAAAACAAGTAACAAAAATAATTTTTCTGTCCAGATAAGTACCATTTTTTTTATTATATATATAATAAATCTCCTACTTTTTTGTTTCGATTCTACTATGAAAAGGAAGGTTTTCCTGCATTCACTTCACAGAAGCTGAGAAAACCATGTGAGGGACATTCTCAGCTTTTGATTTGTTATACATACATCAGAGAGCAAAGTAGATGTACATAAGCAAGTATTACAAAAAATGGAAGAGGTGGATGGGGCCACCTTAGTTGATTCACAAAATATAATAAAATAAAAAAGACAAGAGGTTCTTATTTTTATATTCTAACTTGTCAATATTGGTAATTTGAGTTTCTAATTTGTCACAAAGAAACTACAGACTTTGTATTTGGACATAATAAACATCTAATTTGAACCAAAGCTGTATTCAACATAACAACATGTCACATAAAAAATTAATATTTAGGATTTTTCTTAATATTTACTTTTAAATTAAGAAATTAAATAATCTATAATGCTAAAATTTGAATTATAATCTACAATTGGATACCAAACACATTGACATACATTCAAAAAGTAGTAGTTCAATAAAGTTTTGAATGTAAGCCTACAAATGTGATGACCCTGACCTTCGAGAAAGGGTTAACAGGATTTGTAGTTTTGAAGGGCTTCTGTTGGATAAATCTCAGAACAACAGTGTGTTGAGAGTTCCGGGAGATGACATTTCAAGCAAGTTCAATTGTCCATTTTCAGTCCACACAAACACTTATACGATTATTATAAACAAAATATTTTGCACAAAGATATTGAACTATAATTACCACTTCCTCAACCAAAGACCAGTCTACTAGGATGTCTGGATCCACTGAATGGACTGTATAATTTCCATCTTTACGTACAATGAACTGGTAACTGAAAATTTAAATTGTAATATCAGTTGGTATTTAAAACCTTTAAATAATAAAAAATTACAGGGATGAAAGTTATCAACATCCTTTACTGCTAAACATGCTGGAATGAATTATTTACTACAAGTTTTATAAAATACTTAAAACATAGTTTTTCACCATGAAATATCAACATGGTGAAAATTGTTGCTTTCAAGTATCTTTATTTTGGTTTTCTTATCATCTGTGTAATGAAAAAGAACAAGTTTATAAAGTACACAATCATATTCTACCATGTAGATATGAACTAAAAGATGTTATGTTTTTTTTATTTTTTCAACATTTAAAATAAGGTTTTTTAAATATTCAGCAAAATTTTCCATAAATTGTTTATCAAAAATTGAAAATGCTAATATATTTTTTGAAACACAATATCACAAATGTTACTTTAACTTTGTATATAATGTAAAAACATGCAAAATATTTACTTAAATTTTACCCACCATATCACAACTGAAACAAACCAATTAAAGATACTACATGCGCATTTATATCCCATATAAACCACTTTAGGTTACTGAAGCTCCTTCACAACTCAAACCTACAAGTTAAAAATGTGTACAATCTTTTCACATCTCATACACATCAACTAATCATGTTTCATTCTGTGTGTGTGTGTGTTGTAAATTTTAAAGCTTTTTTTTTGTTATCAAAAGTGAATATCTTCAAATTGTAGCTCTTGTTAATTTCTTATTCCCAATATTTTTAAATGATTTATGTGAAGAATATTTTTTACATATAAACATGCAAACAAAATCCAGACCAATGCTCATGAACCCACAGATTGTTGTTTGTTGGTTTTTGTGCACAGCTACTCAAGTACTATCTGTGCTATCCATTTCTAATTTCGAAGTGATAGACAAGAAAGAAGGCAGTTATTTACCACCAACTCATGAGTTACTCTGATTGAAGTGTGAGATTTGATCATCACTAGTATAGTGCATCCATAGCTACAAATCCACGGTCTGGCAAGGTCAGCACAAATAAATGTATCAGAACATATTGTGGTCATTGAACTATGAGCAATGAGAATCTTTATGTATTTCATTCACATGTATTAAAATAGTGTGTATGAAAGCAGGCCATAATTTTCTTTTACACATATTTCAACCTTAGTTCCGATTACATCATTATTTAGAATTGTTTTGAGGAGATACATCATTATTGTTACTTACATCACAACTTAAGTAATTTTAGCAAAAACTAAGAACAATTCTAAATCTTAAAAATGATTTAAAAAACCAAATTCTGTTAACACAAGTAATTTAAATTCACAAAATTTAAGTATATCAAAATGGACTCACTTTAAAAAAATTAAATTCCTAGATGAATTTTAATGTTGTTTTTAATACAAACAGTTGACAGCTCATACACTAATGTATATTAGTATACAAGTAGGTGTAAAAAGAATAAATTAGGATTCTAAAGAAAACAAGTACTATGATTTACAATAAACATGTTATTGCTATTATTACAAACTGAAAATAACTTTTAATCATACTTTGCTTGTAAGAATTTCTCTTTGTTGTATCTAGGCAATGTTGATCGTCGCTGTGGTCCTCCTTTATGCCGCAAGTTTCCACCATATCCACACTCCCGTGGGGTGAAAGTAAAATTCAGAAGATGATTCAAATTAATCTTTTTGGAACCAGGGTTCTGGGCAGAGCCAACTTCAGCACCCATATCTTCCACTATCTGAAAAATAATGCAATCTTTTTCCCTTTAACATCCATTCAAGTTGTATGTATAATGACTTTAGTCAAAATGCATAAAAGTTTCTGCTTGATAACAGCAATTACTACTGATTATTATCTTGGGAACACAAAAGTCAATCATTTATATAGTATACACCAGAAAAAAAACAATTTTCATTCACCAAGTATGTATACCTTATACGCTATTAACTCTCTCGCAATGAAGTTGGTCGAATCAACCAACCTCATAATGATTTTGTTCTTGTTATTGTTTCCAAACTATAACTTTTAATAAACTTTGTGTATCTTCACAGAATTTGGCAGACTTTTTTCTGATGAAGTGTTTTTACTAACAATCTGTCCATAAATATAAATATTTTTTAGTATTTTTATATACTAGTCCAAGAGCTAAGTGATTTCCTCGTTAAGATTAGAAATACTTTTCCTCTCAAAAATCTCAAATTTCATTTGTATAATCTCTGAAAAATCCTAACTAAAAATTGAGATAAATCTAAATTACCCTTTTTTTCTTTACTGAATGGCTTCAAACTGTAATACGACACTACAATTGTTTATCCTAAATAACTTTAAACACATAACAGTATACATCTATTTATACTTAAATGTTATTATTTTTTTTGTACAATCTCTAAAAACTCCTAAATAAAAATTGAAATAAATCTAAATTACCATTTTTTCATTTATTGTTTTAGTGCCCTTGGAACCATGCCTAACTACTATTCATGCCATTATAAGTTGTAAATCACTTGGTGAACCTACAGCTCAAGTTCCTCTATCAAATTAAATTATGCTACTCACAAGCATACCTCATGAAAAAATTTATTTCACCTAATCTAACCCTAACTAACATAAAACGTTTCTTATTTTTACACTTTAGTTATGTTTATAATAATAAATAAAGAATACACATGAAAAACAAGAAAAAAGTACTTACCTGGGTCTTCTTTTCTTTCTACTGTCGACGACACTTAACCCTACTTATTTTATACTAATTTATATTTATCTTGTTTGCATTGCTTTTGAAGGATTGGTGTATGTTAGCCATTACTACATTTACTTCCTTTTTAAAAAAATTTTTCCTTTATTTGTTTGCTTGTTTTTGTTTTTTTAATGCACTGTTTCAACAGACATAGGAAGGTTGAACTTATAACAACTGTTGACTGTCGATGACACTTAACCCTACTTATTTCTATACTAATTTATATTTGTCTTGTTTGCATTGCTTTTGAAGTATTGATGTTAGCCATCACTACATTTACTTCCTTTTTTTTTGAAAAAAAATTTTCCTTTATTTGTTTACTTGTTTTTTTAATGCACTGTTTCAACAGACACAGGAAGGTTGTATTTATAACCAAGTTCAAAACAGAATGATGTTCCAACTGTACTATTTATTATTGGCTGGTAATTCCTGTTTTACCCTGTACTTAAGCTTTTTAAAGGAACACCAAATTTCTGTAAGAAGCTAAGTTCAAAGGGTAATGATTACATTGTTTACACTAGAACTAAAATTTTTTTCATTACTTCTAGTTAATAATACTTATAAAAGGGGATACTCCATTTGAAACTGTGTCACCTCAGTGAAATCGGTTGACACCATTGTTTTGGTTTTTGAATTAGCATGTAATAAGAATGAAGAACAAGAAATTCAAACATTTTGCTATGATATTTATATACATTTCCAGAAAGTGTGACTGAGTCATTACAGAGATATTGTTATAAAATGAAACACTGTATTGTAAAATTCTGATGACATATTGATGAGATATTTAAAATCCCATTTTGTTAAACAATCTGAGCCATTGTTACATAGGCAGTACTACTGCCTGCATGATATTAAAGGCTTGATAAATTTCATGAAGATGCACTCTGTACATTTAGTTATAGTATGTATAGTTTCATGATTGTTCCAAGGTCAGTCAAATTATCAGCTCAGATGCATAGGGTTAAGAACACTTATTTTGAATGTGTACTCATTATTAGTAATTATATAATTTATTTTTCATCCTTCAATAATATGCAAACAGTGGTGACATACTCAGGGAATGTTGATTACATCTAGTATTTCCTCTGGTTGCCATCAAGATAAAAATTAAACAAGACAAAACTAATAATTATAATAATAATGTAATTTACTTACCTGACTCCTATCTCCATTATAATTGGGTCCATTGTTTTTACTGATGTTAATACCACAACGTGGCCGTGGCCTTTTGTCATTGGTAGTACGACTCCTTTGAGGGGTAGGTTTTCTAATGGGTTCAGAGCGAACCCCAGGATTCTCTCTTTGTTTTGTTGAACGAGGGTATTTTGGCGTTGCATCTGAAATGATAATTCACATATTCAATAATTCTATTATTCTATATTTAAAAATCAGAGATATAGACAACCCAATGATATCTGATACTAATTTATTACACATACAACCTGAACTTCATCCCAATATACCTAAATATTTTTTTTTTCTATTTTATTTGGAGATGTATATTTTTAGAAAACACATCAATGAATTTTATCAGTATAGAGCTACAGCAGTAACACCTGGGATACAATTTATTTTGCACATAACAACTTATGATGTCACTTAACCATCATGTCCTTTTAATCATATGTTCATATAAAGTCAAAAGTAAAGTTAGGTATAAAAATTAATTGCTCTAGAAACCAAGTTGCCATGGAAGCTTTCTATCTGGTTTATTATAAATATTCCTGGGAAAATTTTAATACATATCCTTGTCCTAACCCATATCAAAAATTAAAATTTCTCACACATTACATCTCAAAAATCTCTATTATATATTAATCTCTAAAGATATACCAAGTCCACACCCTTACTCTCATTTACATAACAAAAACCTCTTCAAACACTGTCAAAAAGTATAGTAGAACAAGATTTTTGCCAACTGAAACAATACTATATATTTGGTAAAATTGTAAACTTTATTGAATTACTTTGCAAATCTTCTTTTATCAGACTTTCAAAAACTTCTCCCTACACTGATGCATGACTAGTAGCCTATAATTACCTGGAAAATTTGTTATATCACTTCCTTGAAAAGAGAAGTAACATTAGCCAACTTCCAATCTTCTGGCACATACCCAATCTTTAATCTCCTTCAAAACCTTTGAGGAAATACTATCTGGCCCAGGAGCATTACCATTCTTTAAACATCCCCTTTTGTTTTAAAAAAAAAAGCTGAGAATTAATGTGATCATCTTGTTTGATCTTGCTTCCATCTAGAAACTGTTCAGGATGAGGAATACTGCATAAATCTTTGTCAGTAAAATTTAAAATCCATCCATCTCATAATTATCAGAAATGAGCCTTTCTTATTACTTTAAAGGCTTACTCCCATCCTAAAAGTTTGAATACCCATAACATATATATTAAAAGAAATCCTTATTTAATTTTTACATTTTCATCCTACCTTTTTTATATTCCTTTTTGAATTTCTAATGTCCACTTTCACCAACTCTCTTGATCTTCTATAATCTCCTAAGTCTCCCATCACATCATTCAATCTTTTTAAATTTATAATGATTTTGTTAATTTAATCGTTTATACTCTTTGTAAGCTAACCTTGTTTTTTACTTGCAGGGTCCTTTTTGTTTCTATAAGGAACATGTCTAGCTTGAATATTGAAAAATTATTTCATTAAATGTACTATAGAAGTCAAATGTTTAATGATAAATTTATGTAAATTTTTACGCATTACTATTAAACAGTATAAACACCTAATTCAAAATGTGTTATAAAGTAAAATTTTAAAGTTGTTTGTTCGTTGGTTGGTTGTTTTTGAATTTTGCACAAAGCTACACGAGGGCTATCTGCACTAGCCGTCCCTAATTTAGCAGCGTAAAACTAGAGGGAAGGCAGCTAGCCATCACTACCCACCGCCAACTCTTGGGCTACTCTTTTACCAATGAATAGTGGGATTGACCATCACATTATAATGCCCCCACAGCTGAAAGGACAAGCATGTTTGGTGTGATGGGGATTTGAACCCGTGACCCGCAGATTGCGATTCGAGTGCCCTAATCACCAATATTAAAGTTAATGAATATGTTGTGTCTACCTATTTAAAATTTGTAAAATTTCACCAGCTCTTCCTTGAATGTTTATTGAATTTGTGTGAATACAAAGTCAGTAAGGCTACCATAAGACCTCCAAGTAAAGATATAAATCAAATACGTAAGGTAGGCATTTTTTCTTTATGTTATGGTTGGAGCTTAGAAACTTGTTTTCATGGCATGCCACAAAACTAGGATTTTATATTAAGAGTAAAAAATTATAAGTTAAGGTGTCTAATTTACTGATTGTTCTACATTCGTATTTTGTATTCAAACATCAAAATTAATAGTTATGAATGTATTTGTAAGCATATGTTATATTGCCCAATTTTCTTTATTCTAGATTATATGCTCCAAGTTTCTTTAATCATATAACTGCTGATTTAGGGCACCAAGAAATATATTTCAAACCAGTTATTTTAACATTCAAAATTGTGTACCCATTTACTGATAAGTGAACTTTTTAATTCAATATCTGAAGGCTCCTCATGCATCACAGAGTAAAAACAAGACATTTAATATTTAAAAACAAATACTGGTAGGGAAATAAGTCCTTTACTTCACTAAGTATGTTTTGGTGTGTATTTCAATTGTAACTCAAATGAAAGCTTTATAAATGTTTTAGTAACTCTCTTACAAGTATGGACTTGCACAAAAAATGTTCCAAGTGAGAATTACTGAATGAGCAAAATAATATAAGTAATAAAATGCATTTCCTTTGTGTATCACAAGTTACATTCACATTGATTATCATTAAAATCTAAGAAGGTAGATTTAAAATACTAAGTCTTGCTCTGTTCATAACAGCACATTAGATATCTGTACTGTCATTGTTAATAGTGTTACTGTTGATGTCATAACAGAATTACTCAAGTTTAAATTCAATAGGAAAATCCTCATGACATGACCACATGTACCTAATATTTTTGGAATAAATATTCAAAAACATTTAACTCATTTAAGTTGATGTTAACTAAAATACACTTGGTTTGAGTTTTTATTTTATGCTAAATACTCTAAATAGTAAATTACATTTACAAACTATCATGTAGTTAGAACACATTTTTTTGACAGAATGAAAGCTAGTTATTTTTAGGTAAAAATGTGCAACTGATACTACTACTAGTAGTAGTAGTAGTACTAGTGTTAGCATGATTTACTAATAGTAATACTAGTAACAGTAGTATAATACCAATAACATTTGTAATAACTTGAAAGTTGAACAAAATATTGACAAGTTGTACGGTATGCCCAGTTATTTTCATTACTGGCCATAAGTTACCTTGTTTTACTTTTGAATCAGGCCCGTTAGTTTTTGATGAAGAGCTGCGACCAGTTCCCTTTCTTTCCATAGTAGATTCGTCTAACATTAACAAAAACTTCGTGTAATTTCTTTGGAAAAACAAGAGCGAAACAAACTCCGCCCGGAGTATTTACTTTGCACTCTTGTTTCTTCATGGCATTAAAAATCTAACAAGACATATTTGATAATGAAAAAATTATACTTGATAATCTGTATGAGATTTCAATCAATAACAGAAAAGTAAAGAAAAAACTTAAAACTACACAGGGGAGTTTCGAATCCCCAAAGTCGTCCAAGGGGACGAAATAACGCTTCCTTCGCTGCCAAATCAACCTGCTCCGTCGCAAAATGGCGACGAAATACGCAGGATAAGGATCTAAATAACATAATAGCACGAGATTTCAAGAAGCGCTCTCTGTATATTGAAAAGATGTATTTTAGGAATTTATCAAATATGTAAGGATATATATATATATACGTAAATAGGTACAAACATACGAAATATTTTTTATTTGTTTTAGAGCAAAGCCACATTGGGCTATCTGCTGTGTCCCCCGCGAGGAATCTAACCCTGGAGTTTAGCATTGTAAATCCGTAAACTTACCGCTGTCTCACCGGGGGGCTGTATGAAATATACTTTACTGACTGGAAAATATGTTCAAATGGAAGATCGTATACAAAATGATAATTTTATGAAATAAATGAAACAATATAGTATGTAATGAGAGAAGCTTGACAATAAAAATGCATAGACACATGCACACTTTGAAGATTAAATTAGCTGATCTGAGAAAATTATAAGGCTTGAAATTAATATGTATGTGTATATGTGTGTGTTGGAAATAATTATGGCCATGTTGAGAAAAAAAAAGTATAAAAGGCAAATACGTACTATGGGAATGTCACCCCTTTATGTTGCGAAAATGAAATGTACCAAAATAAGTTCATTTGTTAATAGTTTACACTGTGACTGGTTGTCATACAAGTTAAGACAGTCGTACTATGCCTAGTAGTAACAGTTTTCCACTTAAGGCTCCAAGAATTAAAACATCGCATGGCAAGCATGCAGAAATGAAAGTGTTGGTTAGTTAAGAGCACTCCATGTAAAAAAAAAAATTGCGACTACTAGGAGTTGTATTCAAGAGTCTAAAAAGGGCACATGCAACTGGCACTATAGAAGTGGTTGAGGTACAAAGCTGAATCTCTCCAAAAGTGATGTTAAGTACCTTACAAGACAGATGACAATCGAGTACAGATATTTCAATTAAACTATTTTTGCAGTAAATATGGGTGTCAACATTACCGAGCTGTAAACAGTAAAATACATACTGGCATAAAGTGGCCTGGATGGACGTGAGGCTGCACAAAATTAACTGCTGAAAAGAGATAACTGAATCAAAAGGTTGAAATGAATATTGGTCCACAAAGAGCACAGGCAGATTTTTATCCATCATTTAATTTTCCAGCAAGACAATGATTTCAGCATAAAGAAAATGTTGGGATAAATTTTGACTGTAACAACGCAAATGGAATACTCACAACCATTGCATGGCCTGCATAACATCCTGATATAAACAGTTTAAAGTGTTTATGGCGTTTATATAAGGACTGAGAAGGTCAAAACGAGACCAAACATATTGTCTAAGATGTGAGGAGTAATACAGAATATTTGGTACAATATTCCATAACTTCACATTGACAACTACATGGTATAGTAATAAAATGTATGGTGATCTGTATAAATTAATGGGTTCCTGTAGAAAATACTAATGCATTGTAAACCTATTCACTTTTACTTTGTATTTTATGTGATAATTTTTGTACCATTAATAATTTCACCACCATAATTGTCATTATTCATTGTTTGAATCCTTCCTGAATGTATACCAATCGTATTTCTGTAATCATATCCTTTGTTGTATATATTTGTAAGCTTAATTTATACAATTCCATTGCTGGAAGTTTTAAAGCAGTATTTTTTATTTGTTAAAGTATTGTACATATTTCTGTACATATTGATTATATATTATTCATATAGACAGTTGGTCACGGGAATTCTTAAGTTAACCTCGCCTTAGTTACCCACAGAGCTAGATCATTCAACTAAGGTGTCATATGTGCTTTCTCGTGGGAAAAATTGCTGTAACACTGAACATACTGTATAGATATCAACAGTGATCTATTCCACTGGCAAGTCAGATGATGAAACAGAGATACAGCAACCTTTGTCTTGAAGTAATAGTGATTGTCAGTTACATGGACAGAGTCTGTGCCTTGAGAAGAATGGAATTGTTGCTATTATTATATTATTGTTCTGTGGTTCCTACCCAGTTACTCTAAGTCTAAGAAAAATCTATGAACTTGAAAATAACACAGAGTAGGTAGGAAGGGGAAAGTTTCATGCAGTGAACACAGAACTAATTTTTGCACAATGTCTGTTTTCTATGAATGAATATATTTACCTGTCCTATGAAGAGCTGTTGCTCTGACGAATTGAAACTTCATTCTTGAGGAAATGGCATTTCAAATGTATTGAAGGATTTATGACCATGTGGTAGAGTTGAGTTCTGGAAGTAGATGGCTATCAGGGAGAATTTTAAGTCTAGGAGAGGCCTTCTCCAGAATATCTGGCTTTTGCCAATACCACAAATGTTTATTATGTATTTCTTGTTGCATCTGCAAAACTAGGAGGAAGAACTGCTGGAATGATTAATCAGGTTTTCCCCCTGAAGTTTAACCTGAGTTCACAGAAGGAATAGATGACTGAGGAGTATTGTAGTGATGCTGAATGTAACAGTCTCTACAAGACCAGATTAGACCAACCTTAAGTCTGTTCGATACCACTCATGACTAGTGAGAAAGATTGGTGGTACCACTAGTAAATGTTGTCCACCAACAGGTGAGACAGTAAGCATGAATTGTTGAAGGTGCTGATTTATGAGGCAGTGGGTTAACTCTTCATGATAGGAGGAATACTGCTAATCTCACCACAGAAAAGCCTGAGATGATGCAGAGACAAGGCGAGTCATGTCTGGTAACTTACCATTCTGCAACTTAATGGTGGAGATCTAACACTTGTCTAAGTGTAGGGATCCCTACACTGACCCAATCCACCTCATCTCGATGTTTAATATGTCACAGTCAGGTTTTGGCCAATAGTCTGTGGGAGAGTTGCTTATGTTGAAACCATAGATATTGGTAAAACAGATCACATCTATGATGTTTAAGGGTACAGCCTGGAATGGCTGGATATAGAAACAGTCTATGCACTTCCTGACTCCAAATTTAGATGATCCGTGCCTTAATGTTATCAAGCATATGACTGAGGTACAGCTATGGGACTGGAATATAGTTTTGCTGAGTTTTGCAGACATTTGGATCTGGTGGAGATGTGAGCTGTCCATTGAGCCACATCAAATTCCAATGATGCCTCCACCCAGATGCCATTCGAGAAGGGAGAACCAAAGCTTCTGCTTTGAGCATGGCCAACAGTGCTATTTCAAAGCGAACTACCCATACTTTGCTGTGGGAAGTTCAGCATGAAGCTTGCACCAAAAGGCCTGGTGGTCAGCACACTTCTTCTAGGGATGGATGACATTTGGTGTACATCCATAAAGAATCAAGGAGAGAGGTGAAATTCCTGATTGATACAGGAACTGCCAGACCAGTGGTTGACCTCATCATGCATCAGTCTTTTCAAGTGAAGCCATCACTCCAGCCATTTAACATTGACTTTGTTCTGGTAAATGATAAAGGAATAGACATGACTGGAGAGATTAAACCCCAAAAGCATCTAAGTACTGTGAACTACAGAATGAAGGTAGTCATCACAACCTAGATTCTAAAATTGGTATCCTCAGTGTTATGTTTGCAACAGATGAGCTGCATTTTCGTAGGAAGACCATTCAATACTAGCCAGTCCAGGCCCAGGAACAGAGAATTGCAAAATGCATGTTGTGGAGGGAGTCACAGTACCTCTGTGTACACAAGTGATGTTCCCTGTTTGCTTCAGACAAGGCCAAGTGCAGTACCACTACACAGTATGGTTATAGAGCCAACACATTAAATGTTCTGTTTCCTTTCCAGAAAATAGGGAGCACTGGGTTGGATAGTGATCTGTCTGAGAAGGGAAAAAGTTATAGTGTTGTTCTGTAATTATGGGTCATAAGCTATCCAGCTCCCCACATAATTGACAGAAGTAATGGTAATCAAGACTCGTAATATTCCTAGTGTTACCTCCATTAAAGTACAGCTGAATGTAAGTATTCAGCTTTTGATGCATCTGAGGTCATTGATTGAAGATATACAAGCAATCTTTATTCAACACAGTAGCAAACTGTGAGTGTCTTCTGGCGCAATTACATCTGTGTATTTATAGGATCAGATGACTGACTGGGCTAAACAAAAATAATTCACCATCACATATATACAGGCGATGCACTTGTAATTAAATACCCACTGTTCAGGCTTCCAAGGACTAAGTTTATGTCATTGACAAGATACAATGGATGTTCAAAGATGGAATGATACAATCTTTCAAGAGTTCATGACCATCTCCAGTTCTGAGCTGAGTTCAGGTGGGTAAATGCAGCAACTCCCATTTATGATTTTACACTCTAACATATAGACAATTATCTGGATCCATGGGAAGGTGTCCAATTGTTCCACACACTAGACCTAGCATCTGGAAACTGGCAAGTCGTAATGGATGACGAGAACAGATCTAAAAATGCATTGAGGAATTGAAATGATTTGTTCAAGTTTTGCATCATGCCATTCAGCTTTTGTAACGTGCCAGTCATAAGAGTACATTAAAGGAGTTGTAATGGGAGAGCTGCTCGGTGCATGTCAATTCTGTCTTGGTGTATATCCACCATGTTCGAATCTGCTGCTGAAAACCTGTGCATGGCAGATTTAAACTTGAAACTAGGGAATTGTGTGATCATACTCCCCACAAGTGGAATTTCTTTGTCGCATAGTGGGGAAAAAATGGTCTTTTCTGACCCTACAAAGATTGCACCCATGAACAACGAGAAGTCCACAGTTTCCTTGGTTTTAACAATACTTCATGGTCAATTTCTCCAAGATTGCTGCATCATTATCTGCTCTCACTAAAGATGATTCACATTTTGGATGGATTGATGTATGTGAGTGAGCATTCATGTCCCTAAAGTGCGCTTCAGTGGAAGCCCCAGTGCTGGTGTATCCACAACAGGACTGTGAGTTCTTGTTGGATATTCAGTGGAAGCCCCAGTGCTGGTGTATCCACAAAAGGACTGTGAGTTATTGTTGGATATCAGTGCCAATTATAGTGAAAATGAGGCAGTGCTATCACAGTACAGGATGAAGTGTAACATGGGATA